GCTTGCTCCAGGTCCTGTGAAAGAGGTGATGAAGTGCTAAGTGCTCTTCTGGTGTTTGGGTTGCCTCACCCTCCTCTTGCTGCACGGCTGATAAGGTGGGGAGGAGGGGGGACATCTGCGCAGCCCAAGGAGCCAGGCTGTGGAATTTGCTGCTGCAGAAGGACCAAGAACTTGTTGAAATGATGCAGTTAAGGGACATGCTTCTCTGGTTCGGAAGAGTGATATTTAGGAGTGACCCTGTTATAAGTCACACCACTGGCTTCCAGAGAGTAATCCCAGGTCAGTGATGTTTCAAGGAGAGAAAGGTTGGGCCCATTCAGAGTGGCACAAGTGACTGCAGGCAGCTGATAAGTATGTCAGGATATTGCCTAACCACTGACGAGAGCAATTCACAGTCCACAAAGCAAACAAACCGGGGAGTCCTTGAGAACTGTAGAAAGTAGCAGAGATGGCCCTTTAGAAGAAGTCGGAGTGAAAATCCAGATTGCCATGGCACAGCAAAATCCTGGTGGTCTCTTGGGTGCGCTGCTGTGAGGCAGCTCTAACGGCACTCCATCCTCCAACTGTACTTGAAGGGACTTCATAGAGGCCTGCTCGTGTGTAGGAAGTACTCGTGAGGGTGGCACGGTGCAGCACTTTCTGCCAGAAGAAGGTAAACAGAAAATTATCAGTGGTGTTCTCCTAAGTAATTCTCCAGCCGAGGTATGAGGGAGGAAGGGTTAAGCCCAAGCGGACCTGGTATTTTAGAGACATTATCTTCCTTTTCCCCTTGTGTAGCCATAGAGGATGTCACTTCATTGATGTGTAATCAGAACTGGGTGTGAATGGGCTTTTTTTAGCCTTGAAAAACTTTCTAAAACATCATTGGCTTTCCTGTTCTCTGTTAGTATCAAACCAGAGTCTTTCATGAGGAAGAGGAAGGACCAAGCTGCTGACTCCAGCTACTGGTCCAGCACTCAGCAAAGGAATGGGATGGGTTGCTGTGTATTGGCTAGTCCTGTACAAAGACCATCTTTCACAGGGGTATAGGGCAGAGGGGGAAGGAATTTGCTGAGCTATTGCTGTAGGGGATAGGAATAGACAAAGATGAGAGACAGACAGATATTTCAGCTTCAATAGGAACTAATCCAAAGTTTTACTGAAAATTCAGTACCATTCCCCACGGATTGATTTTTTTTTTTTTTTTTAAATAGTTACTTTCAATTAGATCAAGAGAAGGTTTATTTTCAACTTATCTCATTCCTGTTAGTAGCAGCAGCTCTAAGACAAGACCAGTAACTTTTAAGGCCAGAGGAGACTATAGATTATCTTGTCTGAGGTCCTCCAGAAAATGCCTATTGGCTGCTCAGAGACCTCTGACTTGTGATTTCAGAGAATTTGGGAATTCTGCCCCTACTCGGCTCCTCTACCTGCGAGACCAGGCAGCTGCAAGCACAGCAGAAGTTCTCCTGGTTACAGCCTGTAGCTGGAAACTCCCAAGGAAGCAGACATTCTCCTGGGCTTTGCTTGCTGGTCTCAGAAAGCCCTGATTTTTCCAACAAGTTTGCAGTTAGAGGTGGTCCCAAAATAAGATCTGTAGAAAAGATAATGTGCTAAAGTTTGGGTCAATATATGGACTTTTCAGCTTTGAGACCCCTGATTTGTGTTTGCACAGAGTGTGGTGGACGAGGTGGTACCATGCTCCAGCTGTGGTACGTGGTCTTTTTCCAAATGTGTGCCTCCAGCAGAAGGATTTCCAGGAGGCAGGGAAAGCTTCCCTAGATGTGCGAACCCAAGCTGTCTGTCAGCTTTCAGGCTGGGCTTTCTCATGTTACGTGATGCTGTGTAGGGTCTGGAATGTGAAGTAGACTTTGGGTCACAGGTGAAATGTTTCCAGCATGGGTACTGGTTGTATTTCTTTGCTTAATAGATAGGGAAGGCTTGCTGGGCCACCCTCTTCTGGGGGAATGCTGAGTGACCAAGCTCTGGCTAACATCAGCAAGGGCTGGTGATACTTGGGAGGTGCTCAGGATTTGGCTGGAAGGCAGGCAGCTGTTCCCAGTATTTGGAAAAAAGTGAGAGTTGAATCCTGACGCGTGTCTATCATTGCCTTATTGCGTGGCCCACAGGTAAATCATTTTATCTCAGTTTAAGGAGGAGTGGTTACAGCACTTGAGAGGGACTTGAGGAGTTGTGTGTCTGCTACAGGCTCCCTGCGTGGATAAGTCACTTGGTCTTTCCAGGCAAGAAATAGGGATGATTATGCCGCTTCCCTAACTTCAAAGTGTTTTGAGGAAAAGTCTTACATACTCAGGAGATTAAGGAGCCTCTTGTGTAATAAAGGCAATAGAGGCATGCTTGGATCTCTGTTTCATGTTTTCTAGGATGGTGTAATACACGGCTTTAAGCACATCAAAATCTTGGTTTAAAGGAATGAACACAGGCTTATTAAAATCTATTCTTAACACTGGCCAAAACAATCATTTCTTAATACAAATGATGAAAGCTTTGACGTTTTCCAAACTGTATTGATTTTGCAGCTTAAACAGAACAGTTATGGGGCTGAAGGGGGGTATTTTTGATAACTGTTATTGAAAGGTGTGTTTATTCTATTTCTAAAGAGGGGCCTTAATTTTAAGACTGTTTGATTTCCAATGCGGGGGGGGGGGAAGTTGAAAAAAACTCACTCCTAAGTTAAACAGATCTGATTTGGCAATCCCAGGAAGAGCAAGGCAGGTTGACCCATGGAAAAATGTCAGGGTGAAGAGAAGG